TGATGGGAAATAAATAATCTTTTTAACTTAGTCTCAAAAGATTAAAGTTTATTAAACATGTAGCTCATGTTTGTACGTGTTCCGATTTCGCGCAAGGTGCCAAAGTTTAGTCTGAATTTTCATTTGGACAGAAGTAGGCCAATGCATTCGGTACCTAGTTTGCAAGTAGCAATTTGCTAATTAAGTAGATTTGACGTAGTGATATATAATTTCAGACACAACTTTTGTTACTGCCTGGGAGAACTTTTAGTTTTTAATTTGAAACGGTGACAAAGCTCTTGTTCTTAAAAATTGCGAGGGGGTTCTGAAATTTTGCAGAGCCTACTACCATCGCTTTGAGAAATATATGCGGTGTTGGAGAATAGTTATTTATTTAGTGTTTGGATTTGGGCTTAGCCCATTTGAATTAAGTTTTGTTTCCTTGCTTATTAGGAACTAGGGTTAGTTTATTATAAATAGAGAGTTTTGTGTTATTCAGAGATGATAAGTTAGTCACAATGTAGCCTCTTAGGGTTTTGTAGCTGTTTCGGCATTCTCAGTTTGTTTAATAAAATTCTTATTATTTTGTAGTCTTGTTTGTTTCGCACTTTGGTATTCAACTTGGTATCAAAGCAGATTCGATCTTTTACGGTTGATCTATTCTTGGTGGTATCAACTTGTTTTTCCGTCAGATATCAGTTCGGTTGTAGTTTGTTTTGTCTTTGTACCTAGATTAGGGTTTTGTCGTTGAAAAAAAAAAACACAAAAATTGAACTCGTTGTTGCACCAAGCCTTCGGAGCCTTAATCCGTTGTTTACTGCTGTATGATCCCAAGGTTTCGAACTGCTGCTGCCCTGAACCTATGCATCAGCGTCCGCCCCTGCACCGTATCTGACCCACACGCCCGCTGCCACGTTTGCCTGACCGAATCATCCCACCTGCTTCATCCTCTCTCGAACCTCTCTTGCTTGAACCACCTGCATTCATTGTCTTCTACATCCACCATCGCTGCTACTCGACATCCACGAACCCATCACTTGTTTGACGAAGCCCAGACCACTCGGATTGAGTTCGTCTCCGCCTTGGATCACTGCCGCTGTTTCTGACCTGCCTGCACCACTGCTGCTGACCGCCTTCGACCCACGACTGTCCTCGAACCCTCATCGAGTTGCTGCTGCGAACCGAGATTGCATGCTGCCACTATCAATGTTGTTTGCTGCTGCGAACCCAGATTCCATGCTGCCACTATTAATGTTGTTTGAAGAAAAAAGAAGGAAAAAGAAATCAGGAATAAAAAATGGGAATCATAAGTTGATGTTGTTGGATTGCAATTTATTAGGCCACTTGTTGGTTTTGAGTTCCACATGGGTGATAAGAATAGTTTTTGTTGAGCCTGTATTAGGAAGTACGTGTGCCCACTTCAACGATTGCTTGAGAGTTTGAATTGGTGACCACTCGAGTGATGCTATGTACCTGGTTATTAATTGGATCGTTTGCCGGAATCTGGTTGCTTGCCAAATGGTTGAATGATGGAATTGCCAAATGGTTGAATGATGGAATTGCGTGACTACTCGTAAGCTTTGCTTGCTTGTTTGCTTGGATTGTTCGTTTGCTCGCTTGAATCACTTGCCTTGTCATGTCCGCCTAACGGAGCTTGCCTTGTCGTGTCCGTTTAACAGAGCTTGCATTCACATCTTGTTGGCAAACTCTTGTCGTGTGCCGCCATGAGTTTGACGGGGGGGGGGGGGTGTTGGAAAATAGTTATTTATTTAGTATTTGGATTTGGGCTTAGCCCATTTGAATTAGGTTTTCGTTTCCTTGTTTATTAGGAACTAGGGTTAGTTTATTATAAATAGAGAGCTTTGTTATTTAGAGATGATAAGTTAGTCACAATGTAGCTTCTTAGGGTTTTGTAGCCGTTTCTGCATTCTCAGTTTGTTTAATAATATTCTTATTATTTTATAGTCTTATTTGTTTCGCACTCTAATATTCAATCCTAGATTGCTTGACCAAGGCAACTTTCATACCTAGTAATCAATAGAGGGAGAGCAACTTATCCAAAATTTTCTATTGTGTGCTTGTGTCAAGGGAGAACAACTTATATGGAAAAAATTTGCTTCCACATGGCATTTTGATCAATAATATAATATCACAAGTGATGTAACATAATTCTATTGAAACGAAATATATTACAGTAGTAGTGAATCTATTTCATATAAGTCATGGAGAGAAGAAGTCTTGGTTGCACAAGGTGACAAGCGAGTTTGCCCCAAATGTCAAGCACGATTGAAACACACCACATGATCAATGTCCCTCGTTTCATGCAAACTGACCTATGACTATGAGACAGATCTTGCACCTTCTCCTCACCAACTTCGGATCCGAGCTCTCCCTTCAAAACGCCAGAGGTCTCAAAATCCATGTTGCTTATGTGGCGCGTCGATTGATCGACCATAAGGCAAACAACTGCTGCTGAAACAACTAGATTAAAGCAAAAAGAAAAGAAAGTTGTAGTGGCGTGTGGGAGGCAAGAAATTATAAAATAAAACAAAATAAAAAAAGAGAAGAAAAGTAGGTCCAAATATTCTGTGTTTGAAGGAAAAGAAAGAAGAAAAACCTACTGTTTGAAGAAAGTATGTTTGCTTTCGTGATGAATATAAAAAGGCCAACATGGTACCGGTCCCCTCTGCTTAGCCTGAAGGAAATCTCACTTATGAGTCGACCATGGGTGTCTCTTTGTCTACCTCTTTAATCAAAGACTCTCAACAACAAAAGGATCCATATTTAGACCAGAAATATTCAGCTGACTTCTTGTACGTTGTTCATTGTTCGTTAATACTGTTCAATTATGCATCACATGATCATACTAAAATTTCATAAGTACATACTCTGGATACAGTTGAAACACGTACTCAATACAAATACTTAGAAATACCATCATCATGATGAGTGTTTTTTTTTTTTGGCATACATCATGATGAGTTATTGAGTGACATATATTGATTAAAGAATTCTTAAGTGCGGACAACCAAACTACGTGACCTTCCAACCACACACAAAACACCCTACTTTGAGTACTCTCTTGTATTTGGTGACAACCCCTTGTGTTTGGCACCATTTCATGGATATCTTACACCATTTGAATGGTCTAATAGACTATCTCATGATCATCTCCAACTGTTCGTACTTAGTACGTGTTTATACCCAATTAATTAGCTAAGACTAGGAAAAGCCAAAGTGGAGACATAGCTGCAGGCGTAAAATCCCATTGCTTTTGACCTCCTCTCAGTCTTAGTCGTCTAACAAAGAGAAAGACCTAGGATCTGGTGTAAGTAGTAAGATGAGAAAGGGGAGGTGTGAGAGAGAAAGACTTTCTAGTAAGAGAGTGGGGAGGGGAGGGGAGGGAGAGTTTGGGGGGGGGGGGGGGGTGTGGTTCTTTTGCTCTTCCCAAAAGCTTCAAAGAGAAGAAGAGGGAGGGGGAAGGCAGGTGGCCCTTAAAATAAAGGGAAATGTGGATGGTGAAGGGAAAAGGGAAGACAAAACCAAGGAAAGTGTCGGGCAGTGGAGGCCCAAGGCAGGGCTTCTTTCGCGCCGGTGTCCCCGCTCTGGGTCGCTGCCTATTCCTCCTATTTGCTGAATTAAATTCATCACTCATCACTCTGAGTGTGTGTAAGCGCACTGTTGCAGTTGAATTTGCATGCTAATCAATTAATTAATTAAACTAATTTACTAAAACTGTGCGTCTGTCTTTGTGTTTGTGTACGTGTGTGTGAAAGATAGCAACTTTGTACGTACTACTCCTCCTTCCATTCCGAATTCTTTATTCTTTTTAGACAAATCACTTCGCTGACATTCTGCACTCCTGTTCCCAAGATTCCATCTCTCTCTCTCTCTCTCTCTCTCTCACAAGAGTACTACTGCACACACATGGCACTGCATGCATCTGCTCTTTTGACTCATCTTTTAGTTTCTATATACCTGTACATTCTTTATACTTATTTGGGCACTACCAAGTGCCACTTAGGTTTAACTTGCAGTTTGCATAATAATAGGAGAGGGAGGTCTATAGTGCTAGCTTAGCTAGTGTTTTTCTAACCCACTTAAAAACCCTACTCAACATTTTGTTTCTACCCTTCGAGAGCCATACTTTCATCTCTCTTTTCTTTCACGCGTAAATATACAAAGTTTCAAATTATATGTTATGCTATGTTTAGATGATAAATTTTATAATTTTAAAATGATTAAATGCTATACATTTGTGAAAATTTTAGAAGGACACGTCTTGAATTTTTTTGCTTAGTGTACTTATAGTAACATTTGTAGTACTGTTTGAACATTAACTTTGCAGTACTTAAGCAATTCATTATTAATATCCTTTGCGGTGCAAATTCAATAATTAAATAAAGTTCTTCGAAACTTTAAAAGTCCCTTGTCTCTAAATAAATTATAGCCTTAATGCATGCCAATTTTGTTTGATCGGGTGCGTATAACCAAGAATGATAATTAGAAAATTTGTGGTTGATATATATTCGAGGACCCATTTTACAGTCGGTTTGTTTCGAAACTAAAGAAAAAAAAGGTTATATATATGTATTATATATGTATGTGTGTGTGTGTGTGTGTGTGTGTGTGTGTGTGTGTGTATTACATATAAGCCAAGCATCTTATTCTTAGGTTAATTAATTAATCATCGAAGAAAAGCATGACGTACTAATTAAATTGAAAAGGGTGGGGGTCTAGAATTTGGATAAAATATTGTAGAAAGAGAGGTACAATCAAAAGGAGCTGTGTGGGTTTTTTGGTAGGAGAATATTTCAGGTGCATGCGCAGGGGAAGTTGTTTGATTTTATTTGAGTACAAACTAAGCATGACAAACCCTAAAGTAAGCGTTGCTCCCCATTCACATCATTCCACTCACCTCCTTCTTCTTCTCCCCCTTCCCATCCTCTCATCCCGAGGTAAACCTACCAGTATACATTCTCATCCCTCTCCCATCCCTTCCCTCTCACCTCTCTCTCTCTCTCTCTCTCTCTCTCTCTCTCTCACTCTCACACACACACACATCCAGATAGCTGTTTCTTTTGTTGTATGTATGGCACACACATGTTAATCTCTTCGGTGAACTAGCTCAAAAACTCTGCATTTGGTTGTATTGACGACTGTTTAACCTAAATCCATAACCCTATAGTGCGTGTATATATCCACATATATATATATATATAGCTAAGATATCATGTACGGCTCTTTCTAGAAGATATCTCATCTGTGCTATATAATTGTAATCTCATTTTTGTTTTGATGTATATGTTTCTTATTGCTGCATGTAATGTTTGTATCATGCATATTTTAAAATCCCACTTCAATAACTATCGATTTTTTATATATTCATTATTTCCTGTAGTGGAGTATAAAATGCTATTGCCCTATGCATTTGTCTCGATGGTGCTAAATGGATGCAAGTCATTAATATTTTGAAATCCCACAAATCCACTTCCACAATTCTGGCCCCAATTCGACACCCTACAATCCACTATATACCTTGACCTTCCACCCCACCAAACGAGCAGCCACCTTAATTAGTTTAATTTTTCTCCACAGGAAATAACCTAAAAAATATTCTCTAATCATTTTTCTTTAATTTGATTGTAAACCTTAGTGTAGTCAAGTTGGTTAGAATAAATGTATGTTACCTCCTTCACATTTAAGATTGAATCTCTTTCTATAATTTAGAGTGAATTAAAATATCGCTTTGTAAAACAAAAATGAATTTGGTTCGATGGATCCGACATGGGACCATATTTGGTGTTCTTTATTCAAGTACTTTTGCCCCTTTTTTAGGTAAGTGGTAGCAGCTAGCCCTGCTAAAAAGGCAAAAGACCGCTACAAACTCTTTAGTTTTGCCCACATTTTTTCAACATCTAAACGTGCTTTCGGGTTTCACGGTGAAAGGACATCTGCTTTTATGCTAGCTAGCTCTATCTTCTTTCTAATGGTATGGATATTAATTATATGCATGTTTGAGAAGTAGCAGAGAGCTAAGCGATGTTGGTGAGGTTCAATCCGAAGACAGATTTACACATCCCTGCCCGCGTAAATTGATCTCAGATTGAGCCGCGCCAATATCACTTTCTTAATTATTTGTTGCTTATTCATAACTGCTTTTCCTCTCTAACCTCATCATGTTTTTATTAACTAATTTAGGGTCTTTGAGCTAGCTGCCTGGACTAATTTATGTGACTTGTTGCATGATATCGCATGGTTTACTGTTAATTTCTACCGAATGTATACTTCTGTTAGTTAGTTTTGTCTTTATTTATCAACAGAAGAAGAGTGGAAATTCAAACTTGGGATAAGCAGGAGAGCTAATCGACCGGTGATCTCCTTCTCGATCTAGAGAGATCGGTCACAGATATGCACTCTTCTTCCCTCTCTCTTGTGATTGTTGGTTTATGGTTCGAATATCTGGTTTTACTTTTGATCGATCGACATAGTACTGTACTTTAAACGTCAACTGTAGTACGTATTCCTTTTTCATGTATACTTAGTGACAGTTTATACTATCATACTCCTTTTATGTACATGTTCGTAACTTGCATTCTTTGAACAAAAATTAACTAGTCATATATAGAATAGAAGTCAAATTTTTTAGAGTTCAACAAGTGTATACTGTTAAGAACAAATCCCACATTGATGGGAGGAGGAATCTTGTATGAGCTTATAAGTAAGTTGAGCTACTCCCCATATTATCAATTGGTTTTATGGTAGAACGTCATCTTCTTGATGGTATCAGAGCAGGTGGTCCCATATGTGAAGCTCAACGATCACAGTGTTCCACGTCACTCCACTTGTGTTGTTCATGTGTTAGGCTTACAAATTCGCCACACGTAAGGGGCTTGAGAATGAATCCCACATAGATAGGAGGGACATTGCATGGACTTATAAGTAATTGGCTATTCCCCATATTACTAATTGGTTTTACGGTGGAACCTTAACTTTCTTCGAAAACTTCCCATTGTAACTAATAATATCATATGTAGAACAATTCCATTTTTTTTAAGACACGGGAGAGCTACGGAATCATCAAAATTAAATGTAAAAACAACATGAAGAACTTTTATTTTTCAAATCCTATGTATATTTCTTGAGCATTGTAAGTCAATATAACCAATTTTCCTCCCAAACTAAGGCCAACATATCACTTGTTAAAATTTCTCTTTATTGACTTCTCCTTAAAAGCACAAAACACTGAGTGATTAAATCCTAATGTTAAAAATATTTTGTGACCTCAAATAAGTTACCCATTTTTTTCCCTTCTTATGGCTACGTTAGGTCCGGATGAGATAAAGCAAGTTAAATCCTATATATAAGTGGAAACTTTGCCTTCAATGGAGAGATAATTAAGGAATGAGGCTAATTAATTTGTTTGTGGCAACCATTCAAATTAAGAATGAAACGTAATCTTAGCATCTTTAAAAAAAAAAAAAAAAAAAAAAAACATGTAAAAGAAATGAAGAAACTGTTGATTTTTGATTTATTGAGTTGAGTTTTTCTTCTGTTTTTTGACGTTTCTGTTTCTCTTTATACGCGTTGACATTAATCTAACAATTTTCTTTCTGTATTTTTGTTATTTGACCAACCATTTTAGTTAGAGCCACATTTGCAACCACCCCCACCCATATTTCCTTTGTTTTCCTTTTTGGTGTTTGTGGTTTAGATTATTACTTACGGCCCAGAAATATAGCCGAGCATGTAGGGTTTAGAAATTGATGGATGTACCACCTATTAATTTGCGTACTTTATTCATGGTTATGAAATATTCAGGCACCTAAAATCTTGTGTTTCCAGTCAGAGCAGTTAATTTGACTCGTTGAAAACACTTTCGGTTTCTGATATATTTCTATTAGCTAACTCCATCAAACACTCCCAACAAACTTTATTTTGTAATTAAAATTTAGGGTACCTCTCGTTGAGGCTGAGGATTTAGTTTCTTGAGTTTGGTTTGTGTGCATGCGCATGAAAATGGACGTGGGTATTTGTGAAAAAGAGTTGGCGACGAATGCCACCGCATGCGCAGCCTGTTTCCGGCATCACTATCTCCACGGAGACTTCTCAACGGCAGCGGTCGGAAGAACCATGCTTACCGAAAGCTGCCCCAGGAGCCGCTTAAGCTCTTCGTCATCAAATTGGATGGCTCTAGCTTTGGTATGTAAATTCAATACATATATCACTGCTCATACTTTTTTTACGTACGTACATATAATTAATCGTGTTTTGTTGTGATTAATTAATTTTCTTCTTCTTAATGGAGGCAGAGATTCAAGTTTCGATGACAGCCACGGTGGCCGAACTGAAAGAGGCAGTGAAGGATGTTTTCAATCAGTCGCCGATAGATGAAATGATTTCATGGTACGTATAAATACAAGCTTTGCAAGGATTTGGTTTGTCTTGAAAGTAATTAGAAGGTATATATTTCGTACCATTTCTTAAATATTTGGACCAGAAAAAATGTGATTCAAATAACTAATAAAATTTCTGAACAGGTCACATGTGTGGGGTAATTTTTGCTTATGCTATAAAGGTCAGAAGCTACTCGATTACAAAGCATTAATCCGACTTTTTGGAGTCAAAGATGGCGATAAGGTTGCCTAGCTATATATTATTGATATGGATACCTTTAAACTTCTGCGCTAAATTTTGAGAAATGAAAAATTAGTATCCGGTTTCTAGTTACTAATATTTATTGATTGAAATCTTATTAGTTTTTAGATTTTGATTCAAGTTTCTAGCATTAATGTAATAATGAATTTACATGTCAATTACATATTTCTTTTAAGTAAAAATTAATAATTGATTTAGAATTTTAATAGGCACTCACACCTTTATTAAACTCCTAATTAATTTTCATTTCAAAACATTTCCAAAATAAATAAATAATTAGAATAAGTTTGTATCCATTAGCTTTTTTAAAAAATATTTTCAATTTTTTAATCTTATATGCACCCATTCCTGTAATTTTTTCAAAATTTTAATCTTAAAATGTATCATTCTTAAATATACCAATTTGTTATATGTAAAATGTATCAATTTTTTTTATATAAAATCTATTCAATTTTTTTCTAATCCATTTTTAAACTTATATGGGTACATTCTTTTTTCTTTGATTTGAGAATGTATCCATATCAAGTTTAATCGAAGAAATTTACTAATATTATTAAGCCTAACATCTTCTTCTTTTTTTTTTTTTTTTTTTTTTTTTTGGTTGTTTTGAAGAATGTACCCATGTTTTGGTACAATAATTTTTTGGTTAATTTTGATGAATGTACCCATGTTTACACACACACACACACTGTCACATCCTAGGGCTGCTTCACTACTGTAGCACGATATTGTCCGCTTTGAGGTTACCATTCCCTCATGGTTTTGTTTTTGGGAACTCACGAGCAACTTCCCAGTGGGTCACCCATCATGAGATTGCTCTAGCCCCTTTCTCGCTTAACTTCGGAGTTCCTACGGAACCCAAAGCCAGTGAGCTCCCAAAAGGCCTCGTACTAGGTAGGGATGAGAATATACATATAAGGATCACCCATCTGGGCGATGTGGGATCTTACACACACACACACAAATAGTATAATTTATATTCTAAAATTTTTAATCCCACAAATTATGGGGTTTTATTCAAAATCTCATTAATATAAACAACTATAAATTTCAATTTTAATTTAAAAAATATAGTAACATACATAGAAATAAATTATCACATTAATTTCAGAGACTTCAATAAAAAATTGAAAACCAATAAGGTTTCAGTCAAAGAATATTCATAGTTAGGAACCGCATCCAAAGTATCCCTTTGAGAAATTAGTCAAAATGATTAAATTTTCAAATCTTAATTGCCGAAGTGATCAGTTTCGATTTATCATCAACATCCGATTGCTATGCCATCAATATTTGATTGCTATGCCATCAATATTTGATTGCTAAGTCGTTGATATTTGATTGATATGTTTTCAGTATTTGATTTTGATCAATTCAACAATTGAGATTTGATTTTTAATTAATTTGATTACCAAGATTTAAGTGTATATTGTAATTTTACTGTAAAATGTGCAGATATTTTTTGTTCAACATGCTTCAATTAAGTATGAGCGGGAAAAGCGATGGTTAGGGTTGTGGAGGAAAAGGATATGTGACATCCCTGCTTATGAACAGTTAGTGAAGTTGTGACGATGATGATTGATGAATGACAATTACACATGAATAATTTGCATGCATGCAATATTAGGGTTTGTGGATGAATTCTTCCACTTGAGAAATCTGATTCTTTCATATGTTGATTAATTTGATTAGGCATATGTACGTTGTTTCTAGTTGTAGCAAGAAACACAGAGAATTTGTTAGTTAAAATCAGTGTACAATGCAATGAAACTAACACGCAGCAGAAAATTGTAAAATTGTGAATATTTCATGGATCGATTACTTACGAAAACCGAAAACGAGGTTAGTACGTAGATCTTCAGATGATCAGCTTCAATTTGGGATCCGATTCTGCGGAGAGCATATACACTTACAGGAAGGTGCAGCATGGTTAAGATTTAAGAGGATAGCAGGATGCAGATGAAGACCAGGTTTTGATGTATATAGAAAGGGTAGTAAATCAAGATCTTCAGGATTATATCTGTCTTGCTCTGTATGTTTACAACAAGTTTCAATAAATTTTAATGAAAGAAAAAAATAAAAAAGCTCAAATTCTCGAGGGTTTTTTTAGTGTTATTGTCATGCCATGTGATATTATCAGTGTTTTAAAAACCGTAACTTAAGATGCATTTAGGCAGTTTCAGAGACGGGGCGATTATGAAAACACCTATGTCTAGTGAGAGTAGACTTAAATTAGACTAGATGTGGTCAAGACATGCCTAGGCGATTGAGGCGTTCGACTGGGCATCTTTTTGTTTAAAAGTTGTCGAAATCTGAAGAAAAAAACTAATTGAAATCTAAAAGTTTTTTAGTTGCTGAGCCGGCTGTCCTTCGAAAAAGATGAAGATGGTCGTTTTGACTGACCCACTTTGCTGACAGTTATTACCTCAGCATATTCCCCCTGATATTAAACTTTTTAGTTTAGCTTTTAATATTATTTTATGGATAATGCTAGGAAGACTAAATTTTCAAACTAAATTTGCAAATTAAATGATGTCACCAATAAAAAAATAAGCACGTTAATCAATACTTAGTAATAATCCAATCATCAACAACCACATCATTTAGATTACAAAATTTAGTTTATAGATCTCAAAAGACTGAAAATAAGACATTTCAATAAAAGTATCGTGTATCCTTATATTATTCTTTCCTTAAAAAAGGGTGATTGGCCAGCAAGAAAAAAAGATAAACATCTTTTTGTTTTATTATTTCTTTTGTAACGTTATATTTTTTTTCCTTGTAAAACGTTTTATTATCCTTGTTTTTCTCTTTTAAGATTCTATATATCCTACTAAATATTATATATACATATATAATTATATATAATATTTATATATAAAAATTTAGGTCCTGTAAAGCCGTCTCATGCCTTAAGTTTTCGCTACGTGGGACTATTCATGAAGCGTTTTGTTTACGCCTTCGCCTTTTAAAACATTAAATATTACAAATCTATTCATGTTATAACATATGAATCTATGTATTAATATTAATTTTACGTTCATCACACATTTCAATTACGTTGACCGTTCATATTATGGTTTACAACACATGTACTAGTAACATTGTGTAACAGAGTGACCACCGCACTAAAAAAATTCTAAACTTTCGGTAATTGTTGACAAGCTATGAGTGTGGTCGTCATCCTTGTTCATTTCTGGTATTTGACTTAAAGAGAGAATTAAAGAACATATACCAGGTGAGATTTAAGAACCGGCCAACTTGCGAAATGCTTATGTCATAGAAAGTTATGCGCAGAATAAAGACATGCCGCTTTGCATCTTAATTTGTGGACTCGTCGAAAGTATGTGATCAGGTGCTGAACTTTGCAGGAAACATGCTGATGCTGCTAGCTAGCTAGCTTATTCTTTAGGTAGGCATGACCTAAAATTTTAACCGATGATTTATTCGTTTCACACGAAAACTACGGGGACTAGAAGCGTGTTTTGGCCTGATCTGCACAGGATAAACTCAACGGAGTTCCTAAATCGAACGACGCTTTAAGTAAAAGAATCTGCAGGACTGGAAAGAAAAACAGATGGAAACGAAAGTGCAGTTTTTTAATTTTTTTGACACAGACATCTTATTTACACTAAAGGAGAGGGGTGAGCTCAGTCTCACAATATGCTAGCAATAATATGGTTCAAATTCACCTTTGATGAGAAATGAACATCAAACCTCTCACTTACAAGTGAAGAAGAATACCACTAGACAGAAAGTGCAGTTTTAGATAATATAAATTTCATCAAAGCGACTGACATTAATTAGCTGCAAATAATAATCTCAGAAAGGAGAGGTTTATCTAATTACAAGATATATATAAATGTGTCTCAAATTAAACATAGGCGTGACGAACACTGATTCCAAAATATCAAATGTGCGCTCTCGAATGCAAGGGTACTTGAAAGAAAATGATCTCGTGCATCTTTCCTGGCCTCTACCACTTCTTTGGCTCGAAGGTTCATACACAACCGTTTGAACAAAGGCGACCTTTGTTTCATTCAATTGTGTGTCGAGTCTGCAGTAGAGGAAAGGGGTTGACCGCGGGCAACAATCATCTGCGTTGCTGCTTGCCAGTGTTTAACGGAGAATCTCTGACGCTCTTAGACTGGCTGTAGGTGAGCTGGTGAGTTCCGTCAGGTTTCTTCTTTCGCCTTCCTTGTTGAGATAAACGAGAATGATGAGTTAAGATGGCGAGGTCATTGAGATCCTGCAACGGAATAAGAACCCTCACGACTTCATCCATTGTAGGGCGGGATTTTGGGTCCCTACTGAGGCAGCTGTAAGCCAATTGTGAGACCTTCTGGACCCCTTTAATGGAGTAGTTCAATTCCAAGCGTGGATCCACTAGAAGGGAAAGCTTTCGCTTGTCAGCTAAATGTGGCCGAGCCCATGCCACAAGGTTTTGTTCTCCGCTAGGGCGTTTCTTATCCATGGATCTTCTTCCTGTTAAAATCTCAAGTAAAACTACACCAAAGCTGTACACATCACTTTTAGATGTCAAGTGTCCTGCGAAAACGAAGGGAACACAAATTGTACTAGTTAGACCTCCGATTTCTTACTAAACAAGAAACTCAATACAGAGATTTGAGTTAATTATTTCTGGATCAATAGGATTGAATAAGAAAAGAAGTTCACATAGCTAAACTCATTTGGACATTCATAATTTTCTGAGTGCTCTGCTCTTAAGGTTGGACTCTCTTTTCTTTGAATGTAAAACATATACAACATACATGATCTTCAGCTATCGGTCTTCTTAAACTTCTAATCATTACATAAGGATTGTGCTGTATCTAAAATTCTGAATATCTCGAAAAAATTTGAACCATCTGTTATGACTTTCTTACCTGTCATCACATACTCTGGAGCAGCATAGCCATATGTTCCAACAACCCTAGTAGAAACATGTGTCTTGTCTCCCTGAGGCCCAGCTTTCGCCAAACCAAAATCTGAAAGCTTTGCATTGTATTCCTATAAAGAAAACCCAACTTGTTGAATACTTTAAGCAAAAGAATCAGCATTTTTAACCAGCAAAATATAAGGTACATAACATACCGAATCGAGCAAAATGTTTGATGTCTTAAAATCTCTATAAATGACAGGTTCTGGACCGTTGTGGAGAAATGCCAACCCCTTTGCTGCACCAAGTGCAATCTTAATCCTATTCAACCACGGTAGAGGTATAGTCCCTTCAAAAAATTTTGAACCATCAGCAACCATATCATACAATAGTATTTGCAGATCATTATGGAGAAAGGTCGGATTAAAGATATGAATTTAACCATCCAAAATGCATCCCATTTGAAGAGATTTAACAAAGATGACAAGGATGAACAGGCAACAAAACATTCACATTCACTCACTCCTGAAAAGATGATTTTCAAGACTCCCGCGGGTCATAAATTCGTAAACAAGTAACCTCTGATCATCTTCGATGCAGTATCCAATAAGCTTTACAAGATTAGAGTGGTGGAGCTGCCCGAGAAAGTCAACCTCAGCCTGCATCGAAAAAATAATTCACTTGTCAATTTCCAACATTTAAGTGCTCCAAGAACAATCCTTTTTTATCAACAATAATTTACTAACCCAAGGCAGATATAGTTTTACTAACCACCCATTCTCTATGGCCTTGGAGACCATCTGGCTTTAAGCTTTTAACTGCCACTGTAATCCCTGACCCGGGTTTCGCTGGCCCTGTCCCATTTTCCTCTATCCACCCTTTGAACACGTATCCAAATCCGCCTTCCCCAAGAATGCTATCCGGCCTGAAGTTCCCGGTTGCTGATTTTAGCTCCTGAAAAGTAAACTGGAGCAACTGGCGAACCGGCTTCTCATCTGATGGCAGTGGATTGGGAGCATCAGAGGATAGTTGGGCTTCATTTGGAGGCAAGAGGTCTCTATTGCTGGCATTAAGATATCTGGTCTCTGTAGCTGTAAGTTGTAGTGACACAAGGACTATTAGCCACAGAATATGAACACACATTTTCTACAGAAACTAAAACGTTTGATTCTCCGTTGATTCATTCGTGGATGGAAAGAAAATGGGAGTGTGAAAATCAATCCCGGGCAGAAAGCCCGAAATCTCAAATTTTGCGGATATTTGTGAAATTAATGAGACATCAAGTGACAGGAAAGATATTGACCAAAAAAAAAAAAGGTGACATGAAAGTCTTTGTCCAATTCACAAAGATCATCAACCAAGGAACATAATTAATGCATCGAGGCAAGAAGTAGCGCTATATGAACTCGAGACCTCGGATGCAGGGATGATTTGCTTTTAACCAACTGAGATACAAGCGACTTGCTCGTCACATTGAATTAGAGTGAAAGAAAAAGAAAAAGACTGCATTTTTTGTGGCTAGAGCTCAGGATATTAATCTGGGAGAGAAATCAGCACAACCCAAGTTTGAGATCTGGATACAAATTACATACACACCTTGATTTCTTCATACAACAACAATAAAATTTAAATTTTTGTAAGGAAAAAAAAAGGGTAACTTCATTAGTCTTTTAAGATTCATAGATTTTAAGAAAAACCCATCTGGTAATTGAAATTTCAAAAGTAAAACATAAGCTGGATATCTTGTAAGAAGAAGATGTATATATATACCTGCATCATAAACAAGACTAGTACGAGGGATAGTGTTGGCAGAGTCTTTGGAAGCAGAGGATTTGCAGGTACCGCTAACGCCGCGTTTAAGGACAGCCCAGCAACCGCACTGGTTGTCCATGGATGCTTAGAGGTGTTAGCTTTTATGGGTTGTCAGCATAATTGCATGGGATGTGAGGAAATAACAGAGAGAGATTTACCATGCTTTTATGCTTGAGTGTAAAAAACAGAGGAGAGAGAGAAAGAGAGGAGTGTGGAGAAGAAGAGAGGGGGAGAGAGAGGAATTTTGTGATGGTGGTGGTGGTGTTTCTGCTGCTGTTGGAGATTGCAGGCATCATCATCGCCATCATCGCAGTGTGTACAAAAAGAACTTTTTTGCCACCACCTTTTGTGTGGGGGATGGGTCCGATGGGAACGCCTCTCTCTACAACTTTCTCTCACTATAGATAATTACCTAAATTTTTTAACTAAGGGTAAGAATTGCTTTAGTAGAAGTACAAGAGCTAAGTCAGTTGATCAAGATAAGGTACGAGCTTATTAATTTGAACTCAAGAATAAGTGTAGGCTATCCCTAAATGCTAGTAATGAACCATATGAAAGTTTAGAAACTTTTTTAGGTTAATAAATAAGGTGTATGGAATTCAGATGCATCAATCATTAGAAAGTGTTTGAAAGAATAAAAAGAAATGTAATAGATGTGTCGCTTGAGAGATCAATACATTAGTAGTAACACATGATGACGTGAGAATCACATTGAAAAATTTCGATATTCAAGAAAGAATGTGTTTTTATGTAAGTAATATGCATTATAAGTTGTTTCTATTAATGTTCGAATGAATTCTTGCTAATTGTGATATTGTTGGGTCAAAGCTAATAGGAAGGCAGTCAAGAGCATATTTGAGTGCAATCCCATCACACTCTCTCTCCCTCTTTCAAATGGCATTGTAAATATATTCCTATATGATTTTGGGTGGGAATTAGATGGCTTATCATAGGTTGGTTATTTATTATTTATTATTTTAATTTCTTGAGGGGCCCCTTCTAAAGGGGAAAAAAAAGAAAGAGTGCTTGGTGAGTGGTCATTTCTTCAACCAACCATGAAACAAAATTGTATTCTATGATGCTTTTTGGGGTGAATAAAAGCAATTTTGCGATGAGATGATATTCTTTTGAGTGATGCTAGTGAGATAAAAAAAAATTAAACCGTTTTATATGGATTATATGATATGCTGATTAATGATCGGACATTTTTTTAAATTATTAATATTAAAAAATGAATTCAACTATAAACCGCTGTATATGTTGTAATTTGCAAAAAGAAAATCTAAAATTTTAATCTCTAGCATTTTCTAATATTTTTTTCCTTCTGCATACAACACTAGACACTGTTTTGCAACTTGACAAAAAGGCTTTGTTGGAAAGGAGTTTATGCCTATTGCTTGCCCCCACTAAGTGTGTGGGGTCCCACCTAGTGTAGGACTCACCACACAAAGAGAGAGAAGTAACACTGACAGTGCTGACTAGTGTATCCCACTTAAGGTCATCATATCATATGGGCATACAAAGGGAAGATATCCTATTGCAACAAGCATAAAGTTAGCAGGCCATGCATATGATATAATTGATGTTGGTGAACTTGGTGCTGGGCAATGGGAGGAGAAAGATGGAGGAGGTGTATTGAATTAATTATGAAATCCAAATATGCCCTGCATTGCAAATACCAAAACCCTTTTCAAATTGGACTTACTTGGTAACTATGTAGCTATATATTGGCCAACATGTAGGACCCCAAATCAGATCATGCATATGATCAAGCCTAGTGTTAAGATCAATCGTAAAAGCGGTAGGCTGATTCTGGTCATTCTTATTTTGTGAGTCTTGTAAACATGAATTATTAGGACGAACAATTCCCAACTCAGATTACGCATATGATCGAGCTCCATCAAATCTGATATGAATAAAACTGTTATAGAAGTGCTAAAATCAGTCTCGTATATGTTTATATTAAATTATGACTGTTCCTGTTTATAAGTTACACAAGTATGAATGATCAGGACTAACAACACCGAACTTCAAGAATATCATGCACCAACATGGTATCATGCTAGGGTTTGAAGATAATAAATTAATAATCTTAAGAGTATGTGATTTGATGCTAGGGTTTATATGCTTGTTTAGTTGTTTTACTATTTTTCATTCCTCCATCTGAAAAGAAAAGAAAAGAAAAACAACTTGGCTGTGATTGCAGCAGAACACAAAAGCCCCATTCCATCATCACCTTCAACAAAGTGGAGGTTGGTGGTTGGCATCTTTTGGGCCTCACTCTCCGGTCTATTAATTTACACCCTTTTTTTTTTATTTATTGTTGGAGCAATTTTTTGGTTCCAATGAAGCTAATCTTGCCTCCGGAACTCAGGGAAAAAACCATGGGATAGAAACCCTAGATCATTGATGGATTCAAAAAAGTCGGATTGTGAAGGGGTGAGTCAATTAATAATCCACTCTCACCATAGAATCTAGCATTTCAAATCACACATTCAAATTGTTGACTCTAAACACTACAAAGCTTACGTGGCGCATTGTTCAGATAGCTATTGAGCTACCTACGTTCTTCGGTTGAATGCGAGCGTGCCAACTCGACGATCGAGTTCGGTCGATGAGTAAAATGGATGTGGTGGTGGTGGTGAATGTACTACTGACTTCTGTATCTGGGCGATCATGGCCTAGAAAAAAACTCGTCTCGACCTTTGGGTTCTAGAACTTGAAGATAAGGCTGCTAGTCATTATGAAGTCCAAATAAGGTTCGGCTTTCAATGTGCCGAACATTGTAACTGGGAACACTACACTTCTCCAAGAAGAATAATGAAATGACCTTCTTCGATAGGAAGACCGAAACCTCCTTATCGGCTTAAACTTGGATAAATAGTCAACCAAACTCGAAATAGTGCTATTAATCTAAACTGAAGGTGCTCCTCGATCGCCTAACTAAATGACCCCAATGCTGTTAATCCAAACTAAAGATGTGTTTGACGAAGTTAGAAAGGATAGCGTTTTTCTCAAAGATGAGAAAGTTTCGCATAGATTGAGAAATTGTGCAAGGCAAATTTGTGGGTTGTGTTGAAGTTCCCTTGAATGTTGTAGAACCTCTTCCATTTGTAGGAGTGATTTTCATGTTGATCTCGTTATGCCAGCCAAAGTAGAGTCCATCAGGATTATATTTCTTCGGCATTCCCTGATCCAATCCTGATTTCTAGCTCGGCCACTCCTATCAAACTTAGGACTCTAAACCCAATCCTTTTTTTGTATTTAATTCACTTATAATCTTGTTTAGCCATGAACCTTGATTCTTGGAATATTACGAATCTTATCAATGTTCATCCCAATTCTTAAACAATGTTACTCACATTAGGATTCAGCCAGATCTAAAACAACTCCCCAGGAGTCCTTCACCTATTAGGATTCAACCATTCTACCTTGGGGTAGACTTCGTCTTAGAAACATGACATGAGTCGAAGATCTTTACTCTATGTCAAGCCCACAACTACATTTAGCCCAATGCCAATATTTTGGGTTAAGACACAAATACAATTGTGCATAACAATAATTCAGATTGACTGTCTGATAATATACCACCATCAATAAAATGATGTGCGAGTGCTTGTTACCTTACCTGCAGTTTCAACCATATGGTCCACAAAAGCCAGGGTGGCGCTAGTTCCTTGGGGAAGAGATACTCTCCAGATCTCTCCCATCAAAGTCACCAAGTCCACTGATTTGAGCCTTTAAAATTTAATCCTACGACTACAAACAAGGACTCCTTAAAAAGCTATAATGATTTTAACCGTTGAATTAAATTTTAAGAACCTAAACAAGTGAACTTGGTGGTTTTGGTGGGAGAGAGATGTCTCCCCAGTTCGTTGAACCAACTGAGACAGCAACGTCAAACAAAGCCAAGATAACACGAAACCTTACCACATGATAACATCACACACCCAACCTCTTACTTTCCAAACACTCTCAATCACAGCCCAATAGGATCCACCCACGTACCCAACGAACGAATTTAACTTCCATCCTTCTCTTGCGTGGCGTCATCTAATTCGTCGCTCTCCGGAACCAATCTTCTGTAGGGTGGCCCGATCCCGAGGCAAACCCCAAAAGCCAAAAGCACCATGGGAGAGAGCAAAGCAAAAGCACCAAAGATTCAATTTCCGATTAAATGTTTTCCCCAAATTCTATTTTTCTCCCCATAAAACCTAGAAATTGAAATTGTTGCCAAATTTGGGGAAATTAGGGGTTGCTATTGAAGGGGGTTCCGTTCCAGATCGAAACGGTGCGCTGCATGAGAAGGAAGACGACAGTGGGGGAGAGGGCGGAGGAAGAAGAGAGAGTGTGAGAGAAGGCAAAACATGTCTGCCATCGTGTGCGGGAAGAGATCATCGATTTTCGGAGACAACTCGCTGCCGTCGACTTCCCCTCCCGTCTCCTCCGCTTCCAAGAGAATCCGCTGCTCCTCTTCTTCCTCCCCGGTTCGCTTCTCTCCTCCCTCCACGACGTCGTTTTCTGCATCGCATTTGATCGAACACCTCAGGGCCGTTTTCCCGGGCATGGACAACCAGGTTCACATTTCATTGATTTCTTTGATTTGTTTTCATTAATTAAATAATTTCCGTATGATTAAGTTGGAATTGTTGATTTTTATTGTTATATGCATAATTTGAAGCCATAAATTCGATTGCTTGGGTTGGATTGGATATGACTGGATTGGGTCGGATTAGCGAATCTTATTTACGTGCCCAATACTAAAGGGAATGTCTTTCGGGTTGCCCTTGATTATCTCGAATTGCTTAGCTCAATATGTCAAATTACAAATGGAATCCCTGTTGGAATTTCGTTTTTTCGGGGTGTTGTTATGATAATTGGGGTTTCAGTCTTGTTGATCATTTCGTGGCATATCTGGCCGTTTAATTAGCATGCATTACATGTTTCTTGATCATTTTTTTTATTTTAAATGTTCCTTCTCTGGCATATTTGCTTTGTCGCATTCCTGATTTTCTGACTGCCATCAAGTGTATGTTTACATACGTATGTGTGCATGTGTGTCTATACACCGTACGGGTCCCTGTACGGCACGGATGCACGCTGCCCCTTCAATCTGGTTGGTCGCATTGACTTGGTTGTGTAACGCAATCGACAACCCAATGTGATTCGTGACCTCCTGTATTTGAAAACCCGCATGCATATATGTGTTTTTTTTTTGTCACAGGTTCTTAATATTCTTCAATTTTGGAAGATGTGCATCATATCTACTTAATTAAGATGACAGGTTACTAAGCATTCTGAAATTACTATTGTAGCTTCTGGAGAGAGCACTTGAAGAATGTGGTGATGATTTGGATTCGGCTATCAGAAGTTTGAATGAGCTACGTTTAGGTTCTGCTGCAGGAAAATCTGATATGGCTTCAGAAGCAAACGTGCAACTCCAATCACAGGGTATGAATAGATATTTTCTTGCCTTACCTAGAAAGTTATCGTTGTCTCACCTTGCACGGGAATACGACCGTGACATTCTTTGAAGAAGTGAATCTATAAGTTTTTGGTAATCTTGCTACTAGTGTAGGCATTAATGGGAGTGGATCAATATTTTGTTTCAGGTGCGGTAGCAACAAATGGAGAGGTTGCAGTTACTGATGATCCATCAGTGCAAAATAACCTTCCCACGGATGGAGCAGAGTGGGTGGAGCTCGTTGTCAGAGAGATGATGAGTGCCTCTAACATGGATGATGCCAAAACTCGTGCCTCAAGAGTGCTTGAGGCTTTGGAGAAGTCTATTAGTGAGCGTGCAACCGCAGAAGTAGCCCAAAGCTTTCGCCAGGTATGACCTCTTAACTACTTATATTGCATATCCAATATATGTTTCTCTTTGTCTAGTACTTGTTTTTTCTTTGCTTGGCAGTTAGTAGAGAAATGGGGAAATGTTTGAGAATGCAACATCTGTTAATTCCGGGTTTTATTAATGGCATAGCTGTACTTATGTTTTTCCTTGTTGTAGGAAAATATGATGCTGAAGGAACAATTGGAAGCTATTATTCAGGAAAATACAATTTTAAAGCGAGCTGTATCCACTCAGCATGAACGGCAGAAGGAGTTTGAAGATAGAGGCCAGGAATTGCAGCATCTGAAGCAACTGGTGGCCCAGTACCAGGAACAGTTGAGAACCCTCGAGGTTGAGCTCAGGAACCTAATAACTTTATACAACCTTATATTTGGAAGGAAGTTTGGGAGAGCATAGCGTTGTTTGCTTTATACAGCGCATTACATGATCTCCTATCTAGTCTGTTACTGTGCCTTTTTACGTTGATTTTTTCTTTGCCTTGGTCATTGCTTGCTTAAGTTTCCTAAATTCACTGTGTGCTGATTACTAGTGTTTGATTCTCTCTTTTATACCTTATCAGGTGAACAACTATGCACTTACAATGCACCTAAAGCAGGCACAGCAAAGTAGCTCCATTCCAGGTCGTTTTCATCCGGATGTTTTCTAAAGAATTTGTACAAGGATAAATGTTTCTTCGGCTTTGTGGATGGATTATGTGCCTTCTTGTGGTAGTTTTAATGACATGAAGGCAGTTCAATGTGGATTATGCTGTGTTGATTGGGAAGCGTCCATGCAGCGTCTTTCCTCTGTACGATGACGATGGAGTTTCGCTCAAACTCGGTCAGGGTGATATGTTCCGATTGCCATTCGGCCCATGTCTTTAATTCGGAATTACTTTGATGTGCATAATGTTATCTAGGTTTTATAGGACAGAAACATTTGGTGATTTAATTTTTCCTTTACACTTCAGTAAAAGATAATGTATGCTTTAAACCATGTCATTCAGTCGAATTTCCGAATTCTTGTAACATTCCATGCATCCTTTACAATTTCTTGTTTTCACCAACATGCAGATCCAAAATTTGATCTTCGTTATTTTCTACGAATGGCATCTTTACCTCAAGTTTGCTTCCCTAAACTGCGACCCTGCAAGAGACTTGTAGCTTAAGTAATTAAAAGCGTTTATCATTACACTCGACTAAAGGTGCTGTGCCCAAAATTTCCTTACCCCCAATATCACTAGGATGCGTGTATATGAAAGGGTGGGAATATGAATTTGCCGTTTTGTGCATGCAAGGATCTCTCTTGCTTCATTGTTATGCATCATTTAATGCTATATGAGTGTTGTAGCCGTTATATTTAATTATATTTTATTTTAGATCTTTCTATATTCACTCCTAACTATTATTTCTCTGTATCGTTCCATATTACGTAATATGAAAGAAAAATATCATAAACACATATAGTGATTTTTTAGCTTTTCTTTTCTTCTTTTTATTTTCCAATGCAAATGCCAATGAAGATGCTGAGCTTTATTTATTTATTTACAATATGCTTTCGGCCAATCCATGAAATTTACAATTGGGCACATGTATATACATAGAAAAACTACAAACATGGCCAATAGATGAGTTTTTGGAAACTTCGTAGGCTTTAAAAATGGTGACAGCATTTGTTTTTCTTTTTGGCCTCAAACTGACAACAGTTGTGCGAAACTATTTACACAAATTAAATGTCGTATGCCACTTTAGCTCACTTGGCTAAACTTTTTTTTTAGCCCAGTTGGTTAAGATCATTCTTCTTTTGACTTGAGATCTCGAGTTCAATCTCATCCTCCCAATATCACTTCTACAGAAAAGAATTGCCAAACATCATTCGATTTAATCATACTGTTGAATTCATCAAGGTTGGAGAGAATTATTACAGATAATAATATCATACAGCAAGAGGGGAAGAAAAATGGTACATTTCTAATTAAATACCATAGTCTGTCCGCCATGAAAAGTTCAAAACAAACTACTTAAGAGAGAGAGAGAGAGAGTGGTTAGAGACGAATGGCATCCTATGCCAGTACATACCTAATAATTTTTGCAGGTGGTTGTGAATTGAAGATGAAGGCTGGAAATTAATTAAATATCGTGTTTTTCTTGCTTCCTATACAACTAGGTGTATGCGTGTGTGGAAAAGAAAGAAACCTACCTAAACTTGAGATAAGGTATCTCAGCTAATCAAACGTTGTCGTGTATACTATATTTAACGTTCTTTTAATAATAAGTTGTTGTAGGGTGACGAAACTTACTAAATCTTTGAAAGTACGAGTGCTTGAAATTATATTTTAAGTTAATTATGCGTACCTAACGTGACAAGAAGTTGACGGAGGGCATTAAAACTTACTAGATATTTGGAAGTAGGAGCTTAATTAGAGATCAATACCTAATTAATGGGCTACTCGAAGTCCTCCACCCTTCATCATCCTCTTGAACTCATCAAAATTAACCATACCATCTCCATCCCTATCAACTTTCCTCACCATCTCCTTACAATCCTCCACCTTATTCCCTTCCCTCAATCCCAAGGAACACAACACCACTGCCAACTCCTCCACCGATATCAACCCATCTTTATCCTTATCAAACACACCAAAAGCCTCCTTCAACTCCTCCTCCTCCTCCTCCTCCGCTCCTCCCCCATCTTCCCGACGGCGCATGGTCCTGCACAGCATGCAAAACTCATCAAAATCAATCAACCCATCTCCATTAGCATCCACCTTCTTCACCATTTCTTCCACCTCCGTATCACTCATAAAAATTCTTATGTTCTTCAGTGACTCCTTGAGCTCCTCCGTTGTGATGAACCCATCACTGTTCTTGTCGAAGGTGGCAAACACTTGCTTCAGCTCCGCCGCCCGATCTTCTACTTTTGGCTGCGGATTAATACTATTCATAACAAGATTATTTTTGTCCTTGCTTGGAGTGGTAGTAGGAGTGGAGTAGGGTATGGACAAAGATTGAAACCAAGCAAGGAGCTTGGGGGTGGGAAAAAGAAAGAAAATATTAACGAGGCCAGCGATGAATAAAACTGCTAATAAAAGTACGGTGGTTAACACCATTTTTTCTGTTTTTTTTTTTTTTCTTTTTCTGCAACTAAGAAGAAGAAGAAAAAGATTGGGAGGAGGAAGAAGAAGAGGAGGCAAAGAGCAAGGAGAACAACTTACTTTGTCGTCTTATCAAAGTCTTTGGTGAATTCTTCCAAATTAAAGCTTTGGGCAATACGCGGTTTTTGGTGTGCCTTTCCATTCCATTGTCCCACAAACCGCGTGATCTCAACATAAACCAATGCAACACTTAAATACATTTGTTTTCTTATTAATGAGCTTGATGGAGATATTTTTTATTGGTCTTGAAATATTAACACTTACATTATATGTCGTTATACAAATAAAGAGACACATGAAAATAAAATTATCTTTACTTGTATAATAACATATGATGTTACCACATCACATTCTAGACACATTTTAAAAAATCTCTTAGCTTCATGTGATTACTTATTAATTGTTTATGTTGTTTACTTTTGCTAACAATACTTGCAAAGTTGACTTCCACATGTACTTGGGTAAGTGCCCTAATTTAGAGGGAGTTCTTTGTTCGACTATCTGCATACAACATCTGAGACAATGAGGTGAGACCAATTTTGAACGCGTGAGACTAAATAATAAATATAGGACAACTCTATGTGTATGAGTATGCCCGCATGGCAACGTGGTCCGCCTAAGTATAGAACAATTTGTGCCTAATTAGAGCTACTTAAACACAAGGTCGTATTTTGAGAGTAATATGTAGGTAGTGATAACATGTCAGATTAATAATAGTGTTAACCGCAAAAGTAATATTAAGTGTGTTTTTCGTCACATGAGTAGTATTGATAAATAACCAATACACATGAATGGTTTAACCTAGCATTTGAATGAGTCTTATCTTTGTTTTGTTTGAGTTCCAGGGTAGCCTTAGAATTTTGTTCCGTTTGCAGCCACTGAAAAAAGCAGCAAACGGCATCGGTCACTATCATTGTCGTTGTACATGGGCAGACTTTGAGGGTAGTAGTACTATTTTTGGCTTTTGAGATGTTGAACAATTAGTATCTCCGCCGGTCAACAGAAAAGGGTTTTTGATCTTGGCCTTGGTCTCTTGGGAAGTAGATCACATTTGAATGAATATACAACCTCTCAATTATAATTGTTAATTAAAACTAATTGCCATCATTATTCCCTTAGTTAATCAGCTGTTTGCTTAAACAATGCTTTTAATTGTAATTTGCAATTAGATAGATAAATGGCATTAGCTAGTTCGTCGGAATCGTACTTCAAATGTGTCCGTGTGGAAGGAGCAAAATGATCCATATCTTTTTATGTTGCAACACTAACTACCGCACCAACGTTGCCCCCACCTCCACACCATCGCAAAACATCATTTGTGTTGTGTCGCAGGCACTGACAGGTGAAATTGTCCAACTGAATCAATACCATTCATATCTTATATCTATGGAATGTAGAATTTTTTCCGTTTATTCTTCTAGAAGGCACAAAGACGCTTGGCCTAAAGAAGTGGGGATTATTTAATTTTTGGAACATGATATTTGGTCTCTGATCTTTTTTTTTTCTTTTTCTTTAACACATTCCATAATAGAAAAAATGAGTTGAACTTAAAATTTCGGGTGCAAAGATAAATACTATTAATTACTCTGCAAATTAGCTTATACCAATATATGTACTTAACAAAAAAGACGTTACACGCAACTAAGAAATATGCAATTCTCCTTACTAGGTTTTTGGGCGATTCTCTTCACTTTGGTCCTTTGGAATTGATTAACATGCATGTTCTACACACCGAAGTGCCGTGAAAGATGTTGCAAACCCTTGCTTTAATTTGTTTACATATAGCATATATACCTTACTTTGCTTGTGTGCACACCATTTTTCACGATCATATATGACTATTTCAAGGAAAGCATATCCACCGGAATCTGATTCTCACTGCATCAATTTCAAGATGAGTTGGGCAAAAATAATCAATAGATTCTTTATTCACACATACGGTCTAGTGCAGTCAGTCTTCACTTGATTGTATGGTGACTTTTATTCATACGAATGTGAGGACTATATATGTATATTTGCAATGCGTTCGATACTACTTATTGTGACTACACTTTATTCAGAAAGAAACAACTGATAAACTCATGACACCTGCAAAATATAGGTTTCCTTCCAAATTCCAATAGCTTTGGGCCTGCAGCATATCTTGTTAACTGCAAGGGCCACAGACTCTCTGTACAAACTCAAATAGGTCAGGTTGGACGAAACCAATCGATACAAAATTAAACATCCAGAGAGGCCCGTATAAGTTTGAAACATTGAACGTTTCAAACTCTTGCGAAGAACCCTATTTAAAATGAAATTCAAGGACAAAATATTTGGTTGTTTATTTTACCTTATACGCACAGTTTGGTTGGCTGAGACCAAAGAAAATAAATATAAGACGATTGATTGTTGTATAAGGTCCCAACAGCTGTCAGCAGCTGATCCATCCCAAATGCAGTTAGCCAATGAAAACCTAGCTAGATGATATACATAATGCTCCAAGGAAGAGGACTAGACAAGTCGAGCTATTAGCAGGGCTACAGATGGGCCTGCAGATAAAGATTTTTTCCCTTATGAGCCCCATCTCTGCAAAATTCTTTTAGGCCTTGTCACACATATTGTGGATTTTTATGAAAATATGCACATGTTGTTGCTCACATACTTCACTGCATGACTCTTTCTGCTGCTATAACAAAACCATTATAAATGGTTTATTTGTGATACCTTTTTCTTCTCTGTTGGCATTTATTTTGTATGGTTAACGTTGTATCAAGTTACTAATTATTTATCGTTTGAGCACTCATGCATAGTCTGGTGAGAGTAGTTTAGCAAGTATTTCTTTAGTATTGTAGATATTTCTTACGTGTTTTCCTTTTGGGTTATGATACTTTTCTTGGCTAATATGTAGTTAGGAATATTATGAAACATTTAGGATTTCCTGCAAATTAGGGTTTTATGTTTTCTGTTTAACCCAACTTATGGAGATATATTTTGCAATCTTTCTTAGTATTCAATCACTAAACTTCTAGGGTTTTTTCAGTTCCTAATGAATTTCAAATTTCTATATTCTAACTTAGAATATTTTTATCGATTTCCAGTTATTATATCACACTGCATCAATTTTACTGATAGTACACATTTTTACGTGCAGTGAAAAACAATGGAAAACAAATTTGTACACGAGTACGGGCAACATGAGCCACAGGCACAGCAGCCTTGCTTGCTCTTTCCTACTCAGTGTCTCACACTCTAATTAAAAAGCGCAGATTCGTATAGAGGTAAGCAGTAGTACTGCAGAAATACTATTACGATTTTCACCCAATCATTCAGGCCAACAAGAAAATCTATTATTATATCCTATGTATGCATGCAGATCTAATTTTCGATTTGGTTAACAAACGAACAAATTAACGGGAGAAAACCCTACATGCATGTATGTGATGGATCATATATAATTGAGGACGTTTGGGTCCCATTTGTATATAAGACTGTTGTTGTAAAGTGGGTTCATCTCTCCTCCGGGCTCCCATACAACAGAGAATCACAGATCCAACGGCCAACTAGTTGCCAAATGGGAAATGACAATTGGCGATTAGTTAATCATGTAAAGTTATGCAACTATTCTTTGTTGAAATTAACTGCACTTGCGAACAAAATATAAAGACATTTTGACAAGTGACAACCATATTAACTACATATTAACAACTTTAAGTTTTTATTTGTGATGACTTGATTTTGGTGTCTTCAAGGGGTATTCAAAATTCTTTGGAAAGCGATTCCTTCCAGATTGTAACCATTGGTTTGGACGGCTCTCTCAATATGTCTTTGGTTAAACCTATTGTTGAAGATTCCAATTTCATGTTGTCCACAATCACTAATTCACTGGAGGTCACTCTACCCACATACACCGACAAGCAAATGGTATCGCCCACCGTCTAGCGCGTTTTGCTCTTCACTGTGACAGCTCTTGTATATGGCTTGGTGCTCACTGTGATAGCTCTTGTACATGGATTGAGGATCCACCGGATCTCATTGCCGACCTCTTGCTAGAGGATTGTTTGAGCTAGTCCCTTCCTTTACTGGAAGTTTATTTGTACTGTTTCCTTTGATTTAGAATGAAGCTGTCGTCTCTTTCAACAAAAAAAAAAAGAAGAAGTTTGCAATTTCAACGACATCAACAATATCACTGCCATGTCCGCATTGGGAATTATGGTTAATATGATTAAGAACAACGTATATAAACATTAAGGTTATATAATAATGTGAATTTGTAATGTTAAGGGAAGTGTGGTGGTAGTGAACAGGCTGTTTAGTGACCCATACGACAGTGACGACAGAGTCCTATTCCAAGCAATGCATAGAGACAAGCATACCCCTCCTCCCTTCCTGCTGCAATCCCGTCCCGTTCCTACGTACGCTTTGTTCCCTTCTAAGCCACAATCACATGCGCCTACTTACATGTCCAACTGTTATTGCAAGATACCCATTGAGCCCAGCCCCCACCCAGCCCCATCTAAAAATCTTACCCTTCATCCATTGGCTGATACCGTAATACCCTGCAGTGATCTACTTTTCTTTTAACTTAACCCCATCTCCTAATATTAATAATTGTACGTTTTCAACTACCATTTACCAGGCCCAGTCAGCACCCAGACGATGACAAAACGAGAGCCGAACTTTTATAGTGTTTAGGCTTTAACATAATTACAAAAGTTAAGATTTTTCTTACGCTACAAGGAAATTTAAGCATCTTTGAGTGCAAGACACGTTCACAAATAATTCATTCACTCTATTAGGAGTGTAGAATGCCAGTGTTATACAAGATTTAATTTCATAATATAGTTCATATATATAGTTGTACGTAATAACGTCCTACTAGTCTGATCTTGTTTATCAGTATGCTTTGAGTTTAACATAATTAGGATGAAGCTTCAACATAATTAGCATGAAAGCTAAAAGTCAAGTTTTGATTTTACGAAACAAAAGTAAGTGACCTTGCATTCATGATACAAGAGACTCTAATGATAATTGGTAGGTACTAGAATTTAACTAGTAACAAGAACAAAAAAAAAAAAAAAAAAGGTTTGAAGTGGGAGAAAGTTAAAAGTTAATTAACAAAGAAAGAAAAGAGGAGTAACAGACTGATACGGTTGAACATAGATCCATCCATACTATCACTGCATGTAAATTGCAAATTTGTAATGAATCAGATCGGGCTCTGCTGAGGGTGATGAGGAATGGATGCTCTCGGATACTCTCTCGTGTACCCAACTTGCCATGCATCATATGACGGTATAAGTGACATTGCAAAAATTCATGATGATTTGGAGCCTAGTTCATGTAGGTCCCTTCAATTATCACAATCTTACAATGATAGCAGAACCATCTTATCATTCCCTCTGCCCTTCCTTGTCCTCTCACCTCCGTGCTGCACCTGCACACACGCTTGGCTGGATGGATCGATCCCACTACTCAGCTGCCTTGGCTACATGCTTGCTTTGTGCTGGCCATTACTACAAGTATACCAAACTTACATAACATCCCACAAGTACGGTATTTCAAGTTAATCGAAGCATTGTTAGGTGAAGAAGGTAAAACACACATGAACATGGCATGAGTCTCAGTTAAGATCTTAACAAGCATCTAGTAAGTCATGTTTGCAATAATTACACTTTCGTACTTTAATTAATTATCGTGGCATCTGAAGTTTTGGTAGGTTATTTTTCTTATGGACATGCACAATTTGTTACAATTTTACATATCTTATACATGATTGAATGAAAAGGAGAAAGAATCACAACCATGAACTCAAATGATCTGGATTTGAATTTACACAGATGAGGAAGTGGGTCGTGAAAATTGTTCTCATTATAAATGCTACGGTGGCACAGATGGAACCTGTAACTCAAAGTGGCACAGACATCAGCTTTTATGTGTTTATGTTTTGGCCCCATTGTGTACCAGATAAACAGATGGATGACTGCCACAACTCAATGACCAAATGGCAGCGGTTAATAGTATATTAGAAAGAGACCTAAGCTCCACCTTCTACTGTTTACCTAGTAATGCAAGCTGCAGAATCAAAATTTGAACATTTCAACTTTATCATCATGTGCATATTTATATTTTTGCAACGCACATTAAACTATCCATATGTGGCTGAGATCGCTGGCAGCCCAGACACAACAACGCGTTAGAGGCTAGAGTCCCACCACCTTTCTGAGAATTTGGCCTTATCACGAGCAGTGTCATAGTAGTTAGACTTAGAGCTGCGTTTAAAGTCCCAATCGGGGTCATCATCTTACAGGCCATGCGCAAATGCAAATCATACAATCTGCTGAAAACTAACACTTCAAAATTTTCCATTTTCCTTTTGTCCAACACAAAACCAAATGTCTATATGGAACTTCTGATAGTAAGTTTGGATGGTAAACTAAGACTGGAATTTGAACTTAGGCCCAAGTAGTCGTGTGGGGTCATTCTTGCACTCCCTAGGGTGATAGCCCATGGACAGAGACTCGAATTCAAAGTCTCGAATTGAAGACTTTTCTTTAATTTCTAGCTAACGATATGTTGTGGACATTATAAATCTATGATGTGAAAGATGTGACTCCAAGAAATTGCCAAGAAGCATTTTGGCTTCTTCCATTAAATGTGAAATACGCGTGTTTCAGAAATATTATTATGCTGTAATAAAACATTGTCATGTGATGATCATACAATGTAGTTCAGTACGATATTAAATAAGGAATACCATTTGAACTCAAAATAAATATATAAAAAAAACTTATGTTTTTTTATTACCATCTCAATTATTGTAAGATGATCACCTTTACTATAATGTAATGTGATAGTATTTACATCATTAATCTTAAGGTAAAAAGATGTGTCCTCTGTGTGCTTTTCTTCTTGTTCAAAATTACTATAAATTTCGAAGAAATCTACACCGTACGATGTTGTTAGATAACATGCCAACTGTCAAACCCTAGTTTTGAATCCCACTATCCGAGGGTAGGTATTGAGTGGGATAAACCACCACTGGGAGTTGGGTGGAATCGTAGATAACATGACCACTGTCAAACCCTAGTTTTGAATCCCACTATCCGAGGGTAGGTATTGAGGGAGATAAACCACCACTGGGAGTTGGGTGGAATCGTATACGAAAACCCCCACCCCCACTTGCACCGTACACCAACAAAAGAAAACAAACTGGAATATCAAACTGATGTAACGGTGGGTGAGGGCTGGAGGTGTCTGATTATTTTGTAAATTAATAATAATAATTTAGGGTTCATGAGCACCAGCTGCACCACCACCACTTTAACCGTTTTAACATCATCCCCGGCTGACTAAGCAAGCAGCTACCTGACCGCAAGTATCATGTGAATTGTGATCATTTTATTATATCCTCTACATCCACCGTATTGTCTGTTATGTTATGGTGCACCTTCTTTTTCTTCTTATCCCATCATCCATCGCCAACAAAACATCATTCAGAAATGAACGTTGAAGGGACTCTTTAACTTTATGATATTTGTAGAAAAAAAGAAGAAGAACTGTCCTCATTCTATTTATACTAGTATTAGTGAAGCAGGCCCAAATGAGATACATGTGTAGGAGGACAAAATAAGGATTAGGTTAGTTCCTTTACGATTTACACTTTACATACATGATTGTATTTGAATGGCATGTGTAATGCTCATGCTCAAGAATTCTGCTGCGAAATGGACTAGTTTTAGGTTTTCTTTACCATGTGATTTTATGTTTCCTAATGTTGTTAAAGGATTTAGGATAGTAATTTTTCCTTATTTTCGTTTCTCTCTCTGTTTTATTCAATGTGATGAGTGAGGGCGATCTCAAGGCCCCTTTGCAACAGTGGAAACAAAAGTACTCAAAAACAAAAGGTAATTATATTTTATGAGGGGCTACATATTCTTTTTTTGCGAACAACGTATATTGAGCATTGTTAATATAAGGTCTTTTAGATCCTTAAAATAATATATAGTGTAATTTGGACCCATCAAGTTGCAAGAGGAAAAGAAGATTAAAGTATTGGGCGTTTGAGCTAGCCCAATAAGAAGGAATCCCAACCGCTACAGACGATGCTTACCGGTCGAGGGTTGTTATCGACAAGAACGATAAACACCGATTCAGAAAGTGCTTTCCGACCGCTCAATCCAAGTTGGCATAGTGCCAATTTTATAGCACGAAGCCTTAGAGACAGGCTTACTTAGATATCAACTTTAGGCCACATATTGGTTAACAGCGATGACAACAACCTTTGAAAGGACATAAAGGTTGTGAGGCCAGGCGCTCGGGTCAGTGTTTCCTCAACCCCTCAGCACCGAGCAAGGTGCTCGATGTGCGTTGGCCCAGAAAACTTTCTAGATGGCTTTGAGCAGAACTCACTTCGTTTCCACATGTCAACTGAGTAAGGTAGGAGTAGCCAACAAGGCAAGGCTACGCATCTAATTCATTTAATGCTAAAGCGGTGAAGTACTTGAGGGCCAAGAACTTTTGGGGCCTCATAGAGCTCTATATAAGAGGGATGAATACCTCTTATATGGGGTCGAACCAAGAGAAAAAGAAAGAAAAAGATTACATCATTACCGAGCACTTCTTGTAATCCAAACCAAATATACATACAGAGCACTACATTGTATGTAGCCCAGTTTTGAGGGTGAAGTACTTAACCCTTGTTTTAATTACTTAATAGTCTTTATCCCTAGTCCATCAAGGGTTGACCATACTAGTCTTTGTTGTCCTCCGAATTTTGAGCATTAACAATCATATAACTCAACGATCAAAATCGTTCAATTCCTTAATCATCATTTGAAGATCACTTCTACGAAAAATCATTCGAATTAAAATTGTTTAATCATCCAAACATATCAAATAAATGAGCGGTTATCATGAATTAATACAGTACTTGGTACCTACACCTTTGATTTGTTCTATACATTTGAATGACTAATTGATCTCTGATTCAAATGATTTTTTGTAAGGCTACTCTTCAAGAAGATTAAGAAATTGAACGTTCTAATTATAAAATTTGTATGGCAAATTATACATTATTTGCATGAGGGGAATGAGCTCATCCCTTCAAGGGAGAATGCAAATAATATCCATATGAATATATAATTCTTTTACTAATATGGATCACCATTTATTTTGTATATCTTAGGCATGAATTGAATGGAAATAAACAAGCTAAGTTTTTGTGACTCAACTGGTTAACTTGAGTTTGTCATGTTCTCTTAGTCCAGGTTATTTCCAGTTTCATTTTTTACCAAGTTTATGCCTCTTGTTGATGTCTCTTAATGGGGGACGCTGCTGAGTATTCTATTGTAAGTTTCCTTTATTGGACATTTAATCAACCAAATAAAAACACTGGTAAAAACTTCTAAGCCATAAGTAAAGCTAATAGAGTGCATGAAATTAAGTAATGCTATTCATTGACAAAAAAAAAAAACGTAATGCTATTCAAAATTTGACATAGTGCCGCACAAATTTATTCTTTCTTGACTTTTTAAAGGAGGTTTTGAATTTAAATCTAATAAATTTAGATATGAAAATAGAAGTCGATCGAGAACGATATAAATATTGTTACAATTATATATTAGCACGCCTACAATGACCTCATGAACAGTTCAATTACATATACTAAATAAAAAATATGGAAAATTACATTATCATGAGCGATGATTACATGTATTATTTACCTTTAATAATTTTTTTTATCAAACAATAAATTTGTTGGATTAGATAATCAACAAGGTTCAAATTTATGCTGTGGTACAATGACAACACTCATTTTCACATAGAAAAGAAAACATAAGAATTGGGGGACCATAAACAACCCATACCTTTAAATCCCAATAAAATAAAAAGAGATCTTGGTCACATGGAGGCATGTGATGATGAGGATGGGAATGGCTTTGTAATATTCATTCTCCAGCTCTTTCTTTTTCCATAACTATATATGCACACATATATATTTAATTTCCAGTAATTGTTTCTTCATTTCTTTTATATATGTAAATAATTTTCAATTTTTTTTTTGTTTTTTTTACCGTATTATATAGAAAATATTATTATAGTACCCCACAACGCACTCAGTAGGAAAGAAAGGCATTTTGTGGGTAAAATGTCTTATGACTAACCCTACTCAACCCACTCTTTTCCACCCTCCCTCTCTATAAAGCTGATAGACAGATTATTTGTTGTAGAGTGCCAGTGGTCCTTGAGAGACCTTTGTATGAAGGGGTATGGCCTTTTTTTTCCAACCTCTCTCTCTCTCTCTCTCTCTCTCTCTCTCTCTCTCTCATATACTATACACTGGCTAGCTGAAAACTACAAAGGCGCACAAGAAGGGATGTTGTAAGATCTGAAGAGACTGTAATTACAAGTCCTTGCCATGCTTTTCCACAGCTTTCTTGAACTTCAATTCTCTGCTGTCTAAATCTCTTTCAGGACTAGCACCATGGAAGCTCAAGAAAGCTGTGGGAGACCATGGCAATTCTGGACTTAACCATTTCAATTTCCCTACAACGTTCGCTGCAGACAACATGAAAAATGATTTTGTCTTTTTCACCATAGATCCTGGTAATTCTCTCACTTCTATTTCGTAATTCGAACGCATTTCGTCAAAATATTTTCTTTCAGAATTCTTTCATAATTATATGAGACCGTATTAGTTTCTTCTTATAATTTGAATATATTTGTATCAAATATTGTTCTTTAATATGTAAATATACACATGGGACCCCTCTAATGAAACTGTCTTTGCATTTTATCTGAAAAAAATTATCTAATAAATGAATTTTGATACTGCTGAGTTACAATGTGGGTTACATTTTACAAAAAAATTACAATGCACGTGTGTATGAGATGCACCGTATAACAGATGACGGGATTTTGACATTTTCAATCTTGCCGCTCAAGCACCCGTGCATCTCATACACCGGTGTACTGTAGGAAAGCCCTATAATTTAAATTCCCTTCTCCTTAAGGTTTGAGTTAGAATTGTGTACTTGGTAAGAGGGTACTTGCTGCCGCAGTAGACAAACCCCATAAGGTATGCTGCTGTAGTAGTACAGATGAAATGATGAAGATGAAATTCAGTGATTTTTGTGCCAGTATTTTTTTTTTTTTAACCTAAAACTTTGTTATATCTACTAGCGCACGTTTGAGCCATGCAGAACGGTAATTTTAAAATGTATCCTTTTCTTGTTGTCTTGTACATTTAGGTGAAATTTCAATTTAATTTAAAAAAAATGTTCCCCTGCTGATTCATTCAATCAATATGGTGAAAAAAATGAGTTTGTGCTTCAGAGAAGATTCCCATACCCTTTCCTTTTTATCAATAATGATGACACTTCCCTCCCTTCCTGCAGTTAGCCTTTTGATTTTCCTTCCACATCTTCTCCTACATTTCTGTGAAAAGGGTTAAACTTTGTCCCTGTCTGACATAGTTTTTTAACCACATCATCTCATTCTTACATCAGTAATCAGTTTTATTTCTCTCTCTCTCCCCCTCTCCCTCTCTCTCCCTCTCTCTCTCCCCCCCCCCCCCATTTTCTCTGTCTCTCTCTCTGTCTCCTTCTCACACTCACTTTTATGAATTTATATTTGTACAGAAGAATAGGGTTGTCATTGGCATTACACCTACACAATTATGCTTCCCTTGATCCAAGACTCAAATTAAACCGTAAATAAAGTTTTGATGAAAAAACCAGTGTTTTTTCTCTTCATTGTAACCAGCCGCACTGCATGAAGCTTTCGAAAATTTTACAAACGTTTCTGCAATTATACATGAGCTTTTTCGGTCTCCAGTGATTATCCACGCTACGCTAGCAAGCTAGAAGAACCAAAACAAATTTGGCAGTCTTGAAACTAACAGTGATTGGAGTGGTTGTTTAGGCCCTACTTTATATCTGTATATCACTTCAGTAAAGTACTCATATTTTTTTTTTCAATGAGTTTATTTTATCTATCTGGTACATCATACATGACTAGGGGATTTTCTAATATACACTGGTGTGTAACATCCACCGACGCTCATGATTGTAGGATCCTTGGTTGCGCATCTAACACCCTATTCAATTTTGTTTGCCAATTGTCATGCATACACCGAAGCATAGTACAATTTTCGTTTCAATAGTTCAAAATATTTTAGTAAGTTGATCAACTAGTTAGCTGGCTTTAACTTTTGTCATCAACACATTACACTATATTTGGTAAAAACCCTTTGTTCCTTTTTTCTGTCACATTGCTTCATATGTACAGTTTCAGCAAAGTATATTTTCATTGGCTAAGCTTGGTTACATCTTCAATTACAAGTTGAATACGACCAATTCAGCAACTATATGATATTTGGCAAATTGAAATCGATGGTAATGATGGATGCAACATATACTACTAGCATATATTGAGCAATTTGTAACAGCAGAATGATGAATCGCAATAAAGTTAGCTGTCTGTGCAGTGTTGACGAGCACCATGCTTTAACTACTTCATTACAACTTCAAATATTGCTACTGTCACACATTTAATTTAGCATTGATAATCCTTGAAAGAGAATTTGAAAACCGAAGAATTCGGATCGATGGATTACAGACAGAAAATAAGATGTCCTTTAATTTCTAAAGTAAGAACAAAATTATTAAATATCAACCAAAGTAGTGCAGAGTAAAATGGAACTGTAACGAATATTGTTTAACAAAAAAGGAGGATTACTCTTTAGAGGAATTAAGCGACAACTATAAGTAAACAAATATTTTCTTTAACAACCTCTTGCTAACTAGCTAGGGCCAGGTCCACGCAAATCCGTTCAGAATAGGCCAGAAAAATTAAGAGCGGATTGGCTATTCTGAGTACAATTAAATTAACTAGGCCGCACTAATTTCTGTATCTAGTTATCTGGAACTGGGGCACCATAGAGACCATTTCTTCCATCAATAGGGTGGGAGGATTCGAACTTTATCGAAACCTCTTCCGACTTAAGAAGAAACCTAACCCTAGACACATAATTAGGGGGAATTCGAACTTTGTTGGAAACGCTTCCAACGTAAAAAGAACTGTAACCCTAGACTAAGAACTAGTTGATCACCATATAGCTCGTTTATGAAAATAACCGAGTTGCTCAAAATACAAATTAAAACTTAAAACTCGGAAGGAATTAAATTAGTAAATGCTTGGGAAAGTGACCCGGATGCGGTTGAGATAAAAGTCCAAATTTACTCAATCAACTTAAGATATAAAGCCAGTTATCACTTTTTTACTGGTCTTCTGACTTATCTTTCAAATTTTTTCGGACCAGATAAAGCACTGCAGTAAGTCATATACATTGAGAATAAAAAAAGTCCTATATCTTTACATTGAGTGAACGTGTAAGTTCTCTCACACAATAAAAAATACGTACATTTGCAGCCAGTTATCACAATAGATTAAGGATCATTATAGATTAGCAAGTTTATACCGTATAATCCAAATTGCCAGTAAGATGTACACACAAGGCATCTGCTAAAGCAAACACAAGACAAAATGTTAGAATCCAAAAGAAGAACATGGATTGACGTTTCTAAAAGTTGCACCAGTCATGACCTCCTCTCTTCGAGTGAAAGAAGACCATCTATAGCCTCTCAAGACTGATATATTGGGTTATATATACAGTGTATAGATAGTGAATATGTCGATCCACTAGCATTAACAAGCAATGGAAGAATATGTAGTGAAATGAAAATCTTGTGCAGAGCTGTTTCTACTTAGTGTTGAGTGCCAAAACAATCCAGATAAAAAATTGCAACGGCTAATTAATCTCTTCAGAACAAGTAATGAAGGAAAAGCCTGTGTGAAGAAACGATGATTGAAACGTATTTGGAACCATGACGACCAACAGAAAGAGATATGGCATAGATAAGCAATCTTTTGCCACCATGTGTTGGGAGAAACATTGAAATAACTTTTTGATCGACCAATCAAGCGATATTATCAATTGAAAGTGATTAGCAACCGCGATAAATGGCAACTTTCTTGACCATTATAGGTACTACTTAAGGTAGATCGTACCTTCTCATGATGATCGATCTCATCATATATACTAGAGGTTCACCAACAACTATACCATGATGGCATCTAAAGTAGTATGGATATATAGACACTAAGACCATCTCCAACGCATGGAATGAAAAATATAAGTTTTAAAACCCCCCCAAACCATCTCCAACCATTGGGCTAAAATAAGCTTTGGAGAGAACATATACCTCTGGGCTAGATTCCTCAGGATTGAAGTCTGGCTTAAATTATTCTAGACCCACCAAACTGTCATATTGCAAACCTTATTTTGTTGTGTACTTATAATCTAACGGCCATGATCAAATGAGATCAAATCTAAGGGTAAAAAAAAAAAAAAAAAATTTAACGGTCCAAAATTAAATCTAACGTCTAAAATAATTAAAAAAATAATTTAAATCAAATTTAACTTTATAAATGTTCATAAAAATAAATTAGGATAATCTACATCAATTTTATTTTCAAAAAAGTTACGGAAACAAAAAAATTAGGCTAAAAACATTATTTAATAATCTCGGCTAAAATTTTAAGCCATAAGGATTGGAGGAGAAAAACAGTTTCTGGGTTATGGCTTAAAATTTTCTGTCTTAAATTTTTAAGCTTTATCTATTAAGGGTTGAAGATGGTCTAAAGGTAATAATTCATAAACACACACAAATATTTATATACTCTTTTTATATAAGCATTATTCTATATTGACCTTTTCTAAACCATAGAAATTAAAGAGAAATCAAACTCGGACATAGAGGGTTAAACATTGTTCTAACAAACTTAACTAAATTTAGATTTGCAAACGCACTTATATAACTCACTGTAAAACCAAATGAAAAGGAAAACTCCACTCTAGATTGAGCATAAAGTAATTATATATAAAAACGTTTTGCAGCAAATGAAAGGTGAGCAATTCTAATACATGCTAGAATAGTGGGCGACATTAAGACATGAAAAGTAGTTGAATCATATGACCTGTGCAACGCCTTTAGTCACTGTTTAAATTTATGGTGGCAGAATGGTTGGTCTATAAATTGGATGTATCCAAATCCCCGTGGGCGCATCCATCTGTAAATTTAACCAGTTCTTGCATAGATGACAGTCAAAAATATTCTTGGTGTGGTTCTTAGTAAGGACCATGCAAGATTGTTTGTACACAGAAAAAAAGCTTTAGTTGTCTCTAATAAATAATAATCCAAGAGAAAAGACTAGAGAGCCTAATAAGACCAGCACAAACTTGTCCATTGCCAGTGAAAAATATGGATGACCTTTTTTACACACTTCATTTACTTTACCATAGTTGGCAAAACATAACCCTAATTTTCTTAAGCAAGGTTTCGGTTTCATGGACTTTCACTAATTTCTCCTCCTAGCCATTAAACAATCAAATAAAGGAATGATTTCCACACACATCTTTTTTCGTTCTTCACGCAACTATTTAAATGTACAAAGTGAGAAAATGGGTGAGTCGGAATCTTTTCCACTCTAATTGATTGCTCCAAAGCTAGCTTGATTAAACAAGCTTGACCGTAATCAAAAGAGCACGAGTCGAAAAGATGAAAAAGGCAATACAGACCTTTTGTGGTCCAGTGAACATTCAATAAACCAACTGAAATTGTTGTCCTAGAACAAATTTGAGTAGTACTTAGTCCTTGGCGCATGATTTTTTACTAAGCCCTAAAATAAGTTATCTTTGCGATAAGCAAACCCATAAAAGAAGGACTTGCCAGCTATTTAGCTAAATCGTCAAGGTCCGCGTACTTTAATTACACGCACAAATAATTGAAATAATTGCATGTAGCAAGGGCCGGCAAGGCAGATGAGAAACCGATGCAAAGTAATGACGGAGCCGGAAAATGATTCACACTTTGTTTTCTTGCCCTGCATACTAAGGACGTACAAAGTAAGCAAAGGAGTGCGTGAACATCATTTTTAAAGAATTAATCGTGGTCATGTATACGAATTATGAGCATGAGCTAAGATAGATGTTGACCCCCATGACATCTGAGAATCTCATGTACATGTATGTATATAAAATGGCTGCACTCTATCTGAACTATCTCTCTACAACTTTATCAACCGACAGTACGGTGTAGAGTTACATAGCCATAGGCATGGAGGATAATGTAGCATGTTAAATGTTTGAAATTATATCGTCTTAATTGGCATTTTAGAGCTTGTTTAGAAGTGCTATTAAACTAGCTAAACACGTTTTTGGAAAAAATATTTTTAACCCAACTCTTAGTAAAAATGCAAGTGAATTCTAAAGAAACACTTCAAGTGCCTTAAAAATTCTCTAAATTCACTTTCAATCATTTTAAAAACATTAACTGACGAGCACTTAATCAGTTTTCAAAGGGATATGCTGCCTGCAATATATGGAACCAAGATATGTGTAAACAATGTAAAGCATGATTAACTAAACAGTTAAATCAAGTCCACTGATAATTAAACAATATAATTAAAAGACAAGAATCTAATCTTTTCTTGCAGGAGTTAATATAAAATATATCAATCATTAAACAGTGTTCATTGAATGTTAAAGTACAAATGGATCAGAGATCGAACTACTTATCAAGAATGTTCTCTGAAGTCTCAATCCAAGAGAGAGGAACGGAGTTTACAGAAGATTCCCCTTCAACAGAACTGCGTTGTAATTTGTCACCACCGAAACAACTCACAGAGGAGATCAATCAATCACTGGGTAATAACAATTTTGGATATTTGTACAGGCAAACTTTGTGTTAGATTTAATTTATGAAAATATTTTTACATAGATCACATACAGATAAGGAGAGAAATTTATCACATCCCCAGGTAATCATACATGAAAAACTCTAAAACCTCCAACGAAAATTAGGGTTGAAATCATTTTCCATTGTAGCATCGTTTACAAAACCACTGCCTACTTCAAATCATCAAAGACTGGTTCTTTTTATGGGAATCGAGCAATAAATCAACTAATAATCATGTCAAAACAATCAATGACGTATGCGTGGATGGCACAAAAATCATGTTGGAGTAAAATCGTGAAAGACTGAATTTTTCAGGGATTTGAGCAATAAATTGACTTGAAATCATGATGAAAAAATCACTCACTTATCAGTGAGTCAAACAATTGTGCAAAATTACACAAAATTTGTATGATTTAGAGTCCTTACATAAAATTATAAAATTAGGTATAGATGTTTAGGGTTCATATAATATTTAAGAGAAGAGAGACGTACGATTAAGAAAATATACCAAGATATGAGGGACAATGGAGATCCGATATGTGAGTGAATTTATTGAGCCTATCTGTATCTTCCCACAGCTTTATTGAACCGCAGACCAAGTTAAGAGGAATAGAGAGACTGAGTCGACTCGCTCCAAAGATCGGTCGATCTCGTCATACATGGATGCAGTTCAAGAAAGCTGTGGAAGAATACAAGGAGGATCATCATCTTCCATCTATTAGAGAGAAATAGAGAGACGCCAAGGCCATATATATCAAGAGAGAGAAAGATAAGATGGCTAAGAAGCTTCAGCCAATCAGAGAACGACAACAAGAGCAAACCCCAAAAGGGGAGATGCAGATGCAGATGCTTATTAGGCAGAGGAGGAAGAGGAGGGGGTGGTGGAGGTGTAGGTTTAGGTGAAGGATATGTTGGTATTTATAATAAAAACTTGAAGGTCTCTCCTTTTTTGTATTTATTTTTTTCCTTGTATTTTTATATTTTTAACCATCAATCCCGAGAAGAATATTGGGCCTGAGATTTTACAGTCACAGATTACACTGCTGGACCTCCACCATTTTTTTTCAAACCCTATTAAACGCTGACTACGTTCCGATGCGCATTTTAATAGAGGCCCTAATGATAAAGAACGTAATTATTTAATCGCTAATTAAGTGAAAAACCGTTCTTAATAAATATAAGTGCGGCTAGGATGCAACTTGCCGGATCTGACGGTGGCTGGTTGCCCTAGTGGGGGCAGGCTATCGGGAGCCCTTTCCAGATCTGTCTCTGTTATTTATCGGTCGAAAGGTTTTGTTTGCCTGACTAGCTGTAAAGCATGTGGGTTGCACTTAGCAAGTTTTTACCCTAAACCCTAATCAAAATAAACTCCCACGGTTTTTTTCATTCTTCCTGTTTGTTTTTTTATTCCCTTAATTTCGCCCATTTTTTCGTTTGTGAAAAGGTATTGGTGGGAAACTAACGGTTGGAATATTAGTATTTAGGTTTGTTTTAATATTTGAAAAAGTAAAGTGGAAGGTAGATTTCTCGTGTTTAGATAATGCTAAGAAAGTAAGATGTAGATGGTGTTTTCTTTCTTTTTTTCATATTTGATTTGTGTGTGGATTGGAAACAAATTTTGCTAAATTTTCTAATTATATCTTTCAAGATACGTAATCAAACATTTTCTCAACATTGGTAATTACAAAGCGTAATTGTGTTTTCATGAAAAGGAAAATTAAAAACAAACTTGTCAAGAGTATCACTTTCTTGCTTATTTTCCTAACAGGTGAGAAAACTTTTCTCAATATTAAATTTTGCTAAATAAGGGGTTTGTATCTTCGTTTGACTTTGGCTCATGAGGTGGAGGATTGTATGTAAAATAATTTACGAATCCTGGAATAACGGCTGACTCTATATCCATGGACTTGAAGAGTGGAGAGCAACACAAAGTTAGCTAAAAACGTTAACTTTTCAATTCAAAATGTCGAGTTCGGTTTGTTCTGCCGTTATATCGCTTGTATAAGAAGATTTTCGCCCATGATATGTTTGTGAAAAGGTATTGATGAGAAAATAACTGTTGGAATATTAGTATCTAGGTTTATTTTAATATATATTTGGGAAAGTAAAGTGGAAGGTAGCTAGATTTCTTGTGTTTAGATAATGCTAGGAAAGTAAGCTGTAAATGATGTTTTCTTTCCTTTTTCATGTTTGATTTGTGTGCAAATTGGAAACAAATTCTGCTTAATTTTCTAATTATATCTTTCAAGATATGTAACCAAACCTTTTCTTAAAATTGGAAATTAGAAAGCGTAATTGTGTTTTCATGAAACAGGAAAATCAAATCCAAACTTGTCGTAGAGTATCACTTTCTTGCTTATTTTCCTAACAAGTGAGCAACCTTTTCTCAAGATTAAATTTACTAAATAAGGGGTTTGTATCTCCATTTGACTTTGGCTCATAAGGTGGCGGATTTAGGTATATATGTAACATAATGAAAATGAATCGGATCACATATCCTAAAATTACGGCTTGACTCTATCCATGGTCTCAAAGAGTGAAGAGAAACACAAAGTTAGTTAAAAAAAAATTTAACTTTTCAATCCAAAATGCCGAGTTCGGTTCGTTCCGCTGTTAATGTCGCTTGTATAAAACGGAAATGTGAACCCTGTGGTAATTCTTAAAAACAAAACTATCTTAAAAAAAAAAAAAACACAAAACAATAACAATAATTCTCAAAATCTCAAACTATTGGGGAGCCTCTTGATCTAATTTGAATATTTAAACAACTGACACCTACATCACAGTACAACTGTTCCAATGTGACTGTGGTCCAACATGTATACCTTCTTTTGCTTAAACAATCTAAATTATGCACACAAGTAAACCATCAAGTGGTATTCTGTTAAAAATTCAAATCAACAGAACAAAATAAATATCTAAATTATAGTGGAAATGAAATTGCAGTCGAATTTAAACTTAAAAGAAGTGAGAAGAAATAAAAATTGGGAGCAGTCACATGACGGCATGTGGGGGCGACCCCACCAGTGCGAGGGTGTGTGAAAGGGTATGTGACAGTGGTACACTCCCGAATTTCCCGGAACGGAGGTCGCTTTGTCGGGTTGTATTGGCGGAACACGATGCGTCGATCCCAACCTCCACTCTGGGGAAGCTCCTAAACCTTAACAATGGTTGGTGCGCATATTAAGGCACTATACACCAACCCCTTGTCATGAGAATTTTTTTATAGAGGTATTCATCAATTTACCCTCTGAACCTGTGATCATTGGTTAATTTCCTCCTTAATTTTAATTTTGGCCAATTTCTACCCTCAACTTTCATAATTAGTCAATTTGCACCCTATTGTTAATTTTTTTAATTTTCCATTTATTCTTCCGTTAAGTAGGTATCCGCATGACCACTTTTGAAGGGCAAAAAAATCAATTTGCATTCTACTGTCATTTTTTCAATTTGCACCCTACTGTCATTTTTCGTTAAGTAGGTTTCCCTACACCTTACCAGAGGTAGACAAGGTCGAAGGAAGAGGCGACGGGGTGTGGGCAGCTGCAAACTACAAAAGTAGCATATCAAATGGACAGGGTTGCAAACAGCGAAGGAGGGAGGCATATGCGGCAGTCACGGGCTCGGCTTGGAGAAAAGGAAGAAGAAGAGAAAGTTCAAAGAAAAGGAAGAAGATAGAAGGTGTAGGGAAAATGACTTTTTTGCCCTTTAAAGGCATTCATGCGGATACCTACTTAACGGAAGAATAGATGGAAAATTAAAAAAATTAACAGTAGGATGCAAATTGACTAATTATGAGAGTTGAGGGGGGAAATTGACTAAAATTAAAGTTGAGGGGGGAAATTGATTAATTATGAGAGTTGAGGGGGGAAATTGGCCAAAATTAAAGTTGATGGGAGAAATTGGCCAATCCTTACAAGTTCAGAAGGTAAATTGATGAATACTTTTTTTTTATATGACATAGATACACTATCATCGTCTTAATCGCTATAAAAATATAAGTTTACGTATGTCGTTGTATCGTAAAAATCTTTATCTTTTTCCTCTTTCATATTGGATTTGTGATGTGTGATCAGTGATCCATGGATGCTATGTTATGTGATTATGCTAGTGGGGTCCTCCAACGTGCATGTTTAAGTATTTTAAACCCTTTTTAGAGTTAAAAACATAAATACTAAGCAATTGATAAAGAAAAAGAAAACGTTTAAAGTTATAAGTAGCTGGCACTCACTGATTAATCCTTTCTTAATCATCTTTTCACCGAAATTAATCTATGCTTTTTCATTAATATTCATCACTTGTCATTTCTTTTGATTTGAGACTCATCAACTACCTCTCCCTTCTCTCCGCAATTTGATCCACTTTTGCTGCATCATTCACCACTCTGCGGAGTTTTCGAGCAATTGGGGATTGGGATTGATTAAGATAAGTAAAAATTAAATTAATTTGTATTTCTTTTGTCCAACCATTTTTTTGTTTTTATTTTTTCGTTTAATACGATATCTATCACGAATATGTGTCATGTTGTGTATAGTTAACATGGGATATATAGCATAGTGTTGTGGAGTAACATTATCTTACCAGAGGAAATCTGACGATTGTCAACCTAAACAATAAATTTGAACCAAAATCCATAATTTATCAATTAGGCTTATCATAAGGGGAAAATCTTTGCTTTTTAGTATGTAGGGAAAAATATTTACTTTTTATTAGGCTTTTCATTGCCCGCAACTCCAAGGGATTGTCTAGTGAAAAGTGCAAAAGTTCGGAACTCTCATTTCGATTTTGTACTTGCATGTGTATGTTTTTTAGGGTCATCGGCTATGTTTTGACGTATAGTTTGACTTAGGAATTAAGAGTACATTGTTGTCTCATATGGTATCGGGATTGCATGAGGAGGGGGAGTGGTTTGTTACTAATATATGGTGAGATACCTCTTGTATTCAAATAAATAAGTAAATAAAACCTCACTACGCGTATGATTGTAACAAGTAGTGTCACTCCTCCTATTACTAATTTGTTTTAGCATGAAAATTCATTTACAATATCAAAGCATACTGACTTGAAAACCCGATGACCATATATATATATATATATATATATATATGTTTCACGTCATCGTCCACGTTACCTAATATGTGTTTTACATATGTGTTGCCTACACATGAGGAGGTGTGTGAGGTTATAGGGTGTTGTTCCACATGCATCATAAAGTTATGAAACCTTGTAAAGTTTTACAAGAAGTTAAGCTGGTCCATTATTGTCAATTAGCTATAGAATGAAACTTCAACTTCCTTCATTAACACTAGTTTACTAATATTTCTTGCATGCTTTTATTTAACTTGAAACAATTTACTAAAAGACGTTGACGAGTTATGCATGGTTGGTCTTTGTTTTTGCACATATGTTGGGAATAATGCATAATATTTGGTAAAGTTAAAAACCTGAATTTTTAGAACATAGGGAAACTTGGTGTTTCACCCTAGCTAGTACGTTGAGCGGAATATGAAAATGGTGAAGGTGTTAAGGAACCAGATTAAAAGGCAGTCAGATTTTGTGTTGTGCACGTGTAGAAGGCCGACGACAATTGCATGGAAATACATGCGTTCATTTGTCAGTATATCACTGACACCATCTACCAAACACACATGCCCAACACGATTGAAGGGGTTTGTCGAGTTGATTTAGTATAAAAGTATATGTCGTCAGGGACGGAGAAGTGGACTTAGTGTACATGTGTTTGAAATTTTAAATAGGTGTAGCACCAACCAATACATACACTATATATAAGCTTAGTTACATTTTTTTTTCAACTTTTTGATATGTTACGCCCAATTAAAAAAATAAAAAGTTGAGCGTGGTCCCCCCATCCCATCATTATACTATTTCAGTAGTCTCATCTGATTTCATATTAGTTTTATTTGATGTGAGAGTTGTTCTATGCAAATTATTGCATTAAATATCTTCTTTAGTCAAGGCCAATTTATGTATATATAAGCGTTTTTAATTGTTCTAAGAACATCTTTGTGTGATTTTAAAGATCATGAAATTTTACATCGGTAGTGAATATGGGAAGGACGCGCTGGTGCATCTTAATTATTTGTTGAAAAGACACATTCACCATGAATTCAAAAATTCCAAACACTTTCAAGTTCCA